CTCAGACCAAAACAGGCAAGAACTTAAACGTTCCCAGTTACTTCCTGTTTACAGTTAACACACCCATGAAATTCATGATAGGATCGGCGTGGAGGTGGGAAGAAAACAGAACAGACATTATACAAAAGCCATGCAACACACAGGTGTGTAAAATCAGGACATGACAGAATTTGGGGTACATTCCTTCATCGCTCGTTGTCTCAGTGTACAAAAGGGTGTTTTATTCCAGAGGATGTAAATCAAATATGACCAAACTGGTGACAATGTTAGAGACATTGAGAGCAGATCAGAGACCTGAAACACAACCATATGCCACTTCCTGCGCTCCCAACTTATAATTGTATTAAGATCCACCAACTTCCATACACCAGGGAGTATGCTATGCTGAAACTGCTTTCACAGCTAAGAAACCAAATGGTTAAGAACAGAACAACAAGCTGGTTGAAGGATCTTAATGGAAGTTCAACTGAGGCAGCTGAGGTGTCTCACTGAGGAATCTGGAACTCAACTGTTCTTTCCAACATGTCACAGCAATTTCCATTGCTCAAAACAATGAAAATTCCATTATTGCTCTGTATAATTGAATTCTACCTTTTTGTGGAAGGTTCTTCAGTTTACCATTTTGCTTCATTTTTCAACTTTATCTATGAAAAATGTCAACACTATATACGCAAAGAAAAAAGTACATATGATCACTTACCCCCAGTTTGGCCTCTGCAGTCCAATGTCCTCAGTTTCTGTGCTTCACTGACCTTCGGGTTCCTTCCTTCTCCAGTACACTGTAAGGCCAGCCTTGAGGCAATAGTGCGTCTCGAAGCTGAGCACGAGAGGCCGCACTTCGTGCCAACTGTGCCCTTCACCCCCTCAGCTGCTCATTTTAACCTCTCTTTGCACTCTCACTACAAAAAAAAATACCTAAGAAGGTAATTTATATTAAAAAAAAAGCCACGACCACGTTCACCTCATTAAATTTCCTCTGGTCGTGGTAGTACAGAAGTCAGCCTTTACATTACAAAAAGGTTTGTCAAGTCTGCATGACAACATTCAGAGCGACACCATGGTTAATACTGAACAGATACACTCAAGTCTGCTGGATAATTCATGATCTGCAGCAAATCAACCTGAACACTCTGGAAAAAGGACTACGTTACATAAAAACGTTTGCCCCAAATGCTGAGATCTAAACAAGAAGCATCTGCCCTAATGCTCTTAAAATATAAACTTCATTTTTATCACATACATCTGCTAAAAAAAGGTATAGTATTTAAAAAAAGAATGTTAGGATATACTCTGGTCTTCACGTAACTTGGTTAATGCTCCACAGAGCTAAGCACTACTTGATATAAAGCTCAAAAGCAGGCACAAATGTTTATCTCCCCGTTTTTCACCATTTACATGCTGAAAGATAGGTCACATGAACAAAAAAATGCCAGGTCGGAAAATAATCTCTTCTACTCTATTTTTTGTAGGCTGGGTGCTGCTTTTAAAGGGACACAAATTATTCCACAAGAGCTTCTTGTTCTACAGTGGAGAGTTCACTTCTGGGTCATAGTCCTCTTCCATCAAAGAGGTGAGACAGGAACTGTAGTCACTATAAAAAACAAACAAAACTCCATCAATACAAGCAGTATAAACATGAAAAAGTATGACTAGAGAGGAGAACAGAAGGAGAAATTGAGCAACTATAGCACAAGTGCCAAAAGCTATTTGATCTCTGATCAAAACAAACCCTGAAATAATCTAATTAAAAAAAGTCCCTGAAAAGGACATTTTTACTCTTAAATGATCATTTCCCAGATTTAGTTTACAAAAGGGCAATGCAAACAAGCTAAATCAGAATAAAAGGAAGAGTGGAGAAACTGCATGCAACTGATGAAAGGGATTCCACACTTCATAGCAATTTTAAAACCTGCTGCTAAAATAACAAGGCTCTAGGCCACAGGTAGGCTTGGCCATTCCACGTGCCTCATCTCCTCTATGCGCCCACGTCATTCCTCGCCTGCTCCAATACAGCCAGACTCCCCTCTCAAGAGACTCATGATAGCAATACATCCAGTATTCCATTAACTCCTCCACAGAAAATACCACTAAAAAAGTTTTTTCTGCTATGGCCTCTTTTTCCTCAAACCATCTTACCTAACCAGAAGCAAATAGGTTTACTGCTCCTGAAACATCTGAAAAGTTTTATTACTGTTTTGACGCCAGCAGCTGTTTCTCAGGATCCCTTTAGGTGTGCCTTGTTATGCCTTTATATTTGACTTATCATGATGAGTTTGTTTTCCTTGTTTGGATATGGTTCCATTCTTTGATCAGTTCTAGGTTTTGTTGCACTTGTTATGCCATTCTTTAAGCAGGTGGATTTTATTTTTTTTCTTTTAAAGATTTTTAAATGGTTATGATACAGGCTCAAAATAAACACATACAAGGAACAGTAAAAGAATTACCACCTTTTAATCATCTGGGTCATTCCTTTTAATAAATCCCCTCATTTTAATTTTTTTATTCCTGGAACTAGACATTATTGTCATGTAGGGGAGCTTGGAAAGAGGGAAACGTATTTGCACATAAGCTGTGAGCCACAATCACATTTCTGGAGGCAGAGTAACAACAAGCAGCCTCACAACCCCTACAGACTACCAGCCAGGATGAGTCAAAACCAGAATGGACGTGGCCATACACAACACTGACCTGGGAACTTTGTGAGCATCCCACCCTGTACCACAAGGTAGTAAGCATCACAGACTGCAAACAGAAGTCCTAACCTATCAAGACCTGGTTTTGTATTAAAGGGTAATTTTTCAGTGCGTATAGGGACATGCTGGAGTATCTGCTGCAGACAGAACAGTCTTCCCACCATGCTGATCTCAGCACCGGTACAGAGCTCCTTTAGATGTGACCTCCTGAGGCTGCTACCAAACATTTGAGTAGCAAGTAGAAGATAAAACAGGGACAAAGTCAATGCAGTTGACTATATTTAAACAAGATTCATCACCTTCTGAATAAATATTCTTTTCAGAACAAACTGTATAGCAATTAAGTCACATCAAACTATTGACAGAAGACATATAATTTACGATGAAGAACCCAGAGAAGGACTCACAGCAATGTGAAAAAGGGCCCAAGTAGAACAAAGCCCACACAGAACTGTTCTTGGGATTTAAGGGTATCTAAAACCACCAGAATTACAGTTTTGAAGTAGGAACTAGGTCTGAGTACACAAGAAAAATAAAACCACCACAGAACTACAATACCCAGGTTCCACTTCACAAAAAAGGTTCCCAGTACCTTTGGAAAAAGGAAAGCACATTAACAGTTTGCAAAACTTATATTGCTGCAAGACACCTTTTTATATTTCAGCACAATCAAACCCAAGGTGAAACTCTTTGCAAAACTCCAACCACCAATTTAGAAGACATTTTGCATAAGATTCAGGTCTCCTAAGTTGCTATTTTGATATCATTGTTAGTATCAGTGATCAGGGCAGTTCATTAAAGAGCAGTATCTAACATGCATGCAGACAGTCTAGTGCCACTTCTAGACGTGACATTTTGGACTGATGTCCAAGTCTTGCAAACCTCATGCTTGCACAGTTAGCATAAATTAGGCACTGCTGATCAGAAAACTTTACCCTTGTTAAAGGAATGACCTCCACACCATCTCAAACCTCCTAACAAGAAGTTTGATACTTCTGTAACCTTTATTCTGAAACAATCTCACTTGTGGGTGTCACAGTTACTGGGGGGCCCTGCACTGAGGTTGCAGTAAATTAAAGAGGCTTAAATTAATCTCCACCTGCTTCTCTTCAGGTAGTGTACAGAAAGCACACTTCAGATAGTAAATTCAAAGTAGTGTCTTGAGCCCTTCCAAAGTTGTGTTCCCTGGCAAGGTACCGAAGGCTCTATGCCCATGCACTATATGCAAACACAGCCTGCAGCTGCCTCCTTATTTCAGTAGGCATATACACTGCTCTTCCGTCACCGCCTTCCTGTGCAGGTAATATCATCAAAAAAAGAACAAGGTATGTGACGTTTGCTAAAGCAAAAAACTTGCTGTTAGATGAAGTGTTGTAACTTACACTACTACTGAAACCCTTCAGTCTCCAGGATTAGCCCACATGCCAGGTTTTACAACCTCCTCTCACACACTCTGAATCCTGTCTAACACCACACCTTCAACCTACCTAAGACCACTTCCATAACTGACCGTACTACTGAAAGCAGCAGTATCACAGAAGTACAATGGGCAAGACCCAAAGTCTCTCAACTACCTTCTCTGACAGCAACACACAATATATTCTTAAGTAAAAAAGGTGTAAGAACAAGAGCAAATAGCATCAGGGGTCTGAGGATACTTTCTCAGACTTCTAAACCAGGGCCTGTATTATAGTTTATTACCAGTCAGTGCTTCTATGTAAATCTGTTGAATTGCTTTCTTTTTAAACACATTAATACATTTTTGCCTCCCAAATGAGAGCGGGCAAAGTTTACTTGTGCTTTGTGTAAAAGTAAATTTGTGGCTATGAAAGTGTCAGCCTCAATTCAACTGGATGGTTTCTTGTGCTACCAAAGTGCCAACCACATTCTGTTCAGTTTTTCATGATACTCATGATTTTATACATGATATACATACCCATCAAGTCATCTCTCTTCCAAACTAAGTCAGGCTATTTGTGAAAGCCCTCCTAGCCTTTACCATGTCTTTTAGATACAAGGTGACCAAAACGGCATAAAGCACTCAAGATCTGGGAGCACAACCAATTTATAGAATGGAAAAATAGCGCATTTTTTAACCTTTCTTCCTAATATCAAACATCAGGGTTTTTTTGCCTACTATATAGAACTGAAATGACCTTTGCCACCTACTCAACAACAAATAGAGTGAAGAGATTCCTCAAAGTACAGGTGGGGTCTGCTTTTCTCTGGTCATGCACATGAGCATGTGAGTGGAACAAACACTTGTGCATTCCCTGAAGGCGAAGTTCCCAATTCTTCCTATACTGCATTTACAGTTCAGTCGAACTGGTCTCTGCTTCACTATGAAAAACAGCAAGGACAAAGATCATCTCCAGTAGCCACTCCCAATTCCAGGAAAAAAGCAAACAGAAGTGCTTGTCAATGCAAATTTAATTAATTACCTCTCTCCTTTTAAATGCCTTTAAGTTGGAATTATTTCTGGAAATACAAATCAGAAAAATAGCAAATAATATCATCACTAAATGAGATGTTCTATAAAGGCATACCTCCTTTCAGAACAAGGAAATCTGCATTAATGAGCTTTGGTGAAGAGAAAAGGTTGTCCGTCAACTACCCCAAAATGTTCTTTAACTGATCAAAATGAAGAAGTCTTTGGCAAGTAATGTAAGTACATAAAACATTAAACTCTATTTAGCACTTGGGTTCCACTTGCTAACAATTCTAATTAATCTCTAAAAAAAAATAATTTCTATTATCAATTTTGACATGTTGCATTAAAAATGTTTTAACTCTTCTGTCATAGCAACCTCTTTTTGTAAGTTTTTGTTGTTACAAAAGTACTTTTTCCCCTTGGTAAGTGCTTAAGTTTCATAGCTAAATACCCTTCACCATGTCATTTAACATGCAAGTAGAAAAAGTGGTATTTGTCTCTGAGTCAAATAAACCAGTGAAAGTTGTCAGATGCTCTTTCATATGATCAGATTTCACTGTGTATTTGTCTAAACAAATACTGAAAGTTTGACATGAAAACGGAAGAAACATACAAGCATATTCAATGTAAAGAGGCACAGACTACAGTAAGGAACATACATAATCCAGGACAAAAATGCCATCTTCTAATACAGCATTAATAAAGTGTTCTTGCTGTGTTACAGTTGGATGTAGTTACACAGTTGTTTTAATCCTTCTGTTAACTTTCTTTTCTACTCTTAACATAGACTTGACCAGAGTTAATCTCTAAACCAGAGAGTTTCTAACACTTTGACTCTCAAGCTGAGCTTTCCATATATACCTGACAGTAGGAACCAAGGAGGTATTCAATATGCCAAGACCTATACCGACCAGAATGTCAGACTAAAGATAGGAGCTAAAGATAGTCAAGGCCCCTGAGCTGTGACATGAAGTTAGTCATTGGGAATGGATCAAGATGTTTCCGAACTCCTAAAGAAAATGCACAGATTAGCCTTATCAGCAGTGCATTTTTCCAATTACTTCCTCTTCCACCTCCTACCTTGGCTTACAAAACTGTAAAAGCCCAATGGGAAGCAAAATCTGTCTGGAGATAAAAGATTGCCTGCCACGCCATGCTGTTCCAGCACACCACCTCTCTGGGAATACCTGGAACCAGGGCTTCTAACCTTTCCTCACTTCATGTACTGCAGTGCACGTTTCTGAAACAGACCAATTTTACTGGGGGCTTTTTCTGCCTCAATGTTCCTTGCAAACCCCGTCAGGTCCCTTCATCTCTGCTGTCTACCTAGAATCCTATTAATTCCATTAATTCCATTTCTCATCTCTTGCAACAGCAAATCACAGAGACTTGGAGCCT